ATACTCTTGAGCTTCTGTCCACGTCAACAGCCAGCTGTCTTCCACTGGGTTGTTACAAACCCCTTCTCTTCAAAAGCAGCTTGTCCTCAAGCTAGATAGGCGGGAAAATGCTACTTGAATTTTTCCAGGTCTTCCCATGTAGCGTCTTCGGGTGATTGATGTGTCCACTGAATGAAAACTTGAGTCACAACCCTGTTGTCTTTGTTGACGAAACGCCTGGCCAGAATATGAGCTGGAGCTAGCTTGAGAGACCCACTGTCATCAGTATCTGGGAGCTGGGAAGCGGCTGGCGGCACTATCGAACGGCAGAGTTTGAGCTGTGACACATGGAATACTGGATGAATCTTCGATTCCGCAGGTAGAGCAAGTTTGTAAGCCACTGCTCCGACTCTAGCAATCACTCTATAGGGTCCGAAGTATCGTGCATCCAATTTATTCTCTTGCCTTCCCTCAACAGAGCCTTGGCGGTACGGTTGTAGGCGAAGATAGGCCCAATCGTTAACCCGGAGCTCCCTTTCAGACCGTCTTCGATCTGCATACTGCTTCTGCCGGTTTTGCACCTTGGTGATATTATAAGTGAGAAATTGAGTCACCAAGTGCTGCTTGGTCACCCTGTCTTCCACTGCTCCCACTGTGGTGGGCAGAACTGCACCTAAACCGAAGAACGAGGGAGGAAACCCATAGAGAGCTTCAAATGGGGACATTTGCAAGCTGATGTGAAAATGGGTATTATAGCACCACTCGGCCAAAGCTAACCAATCAACCCAATCCTGGGGACGATGAAAGGTCATACAACACAAATAGTCCTCCAAACACCTGTTGACACGTTCTGTCTGCCCATCTGTTTGTGGATGGTAGGCCGTTGAGTAGTGTAGATCAGTGTGTTGTAGGCGAAAAAATTCAGTCCAAAATATGCTTGTAAAGGTAGCATCCCTGTCGCACACAATTGTAGAAGGCATGCCATGGTACTTGAACACCGCATTGAAGAAGACAACGGCCACTTCAGCAGTTGTATATGGATGGGAAAGAGCAAAGAAGTGAGCTGACTTGGTGAATCTATCTACCACCACAAACAGAACCTGTTTCCCCTTAGAAGTAGGAAGACCCTCCACAAAGTCCATGCTTATGTCACGCCACGCTCGTGTTGGAATCGGGAGAGGTTGGAGCAATCCAGGTGAAGCCACAGTTTCCGCTTTGCATCTCTGGCATACTTCGAACTGAGAAACCCACTGTTTCACGTCAGCCTTCATACCCTGCCAGTAAAAGTATGATTTAAGTCGCTGGTAAGTTCCCTGAACTCCTGAATGTCCACCCACTGGGGAGGAGTGGAAAAGGCGGAGAAGCTTGTGACGTAAGTACCCTGTTGCTCCCACCACTATAGCCCTTTTGTAGCGGAGAATTCCTTCAGAGTATGCCCATAATGAGGGACCAGATGAATTTACAGCAGCAGTTATCAAAGCAGCCACATCAACATCATTCTCATAAGACTGCTCGATTTCGACAAGCCATTCAGGAAGCACGGACGACAAAGCATTGCAAGTACTGCCGTCAATTCCATCTTCAAATACCCGGGAGAGAGAATCTGCTGTCCCATTGTAGCGCCCTTTCCTGTATTTAATTTGAAAGTCTAATCCCATGAGCTTAACTAATCCCTTCTTCTGAATTGCTGTGTGGACCTTCTGCCCCATCAAGAACTTCAAACTCTCATGATCCGTGACAATTGTAAACTGTCTTCCTTCTAAGTAGTGTCTCCAGTGTTCCACTGCCATCAACACAGCCAGATATTCTTTTTCATATGTGCTCAAACCTTGGTTCCTTAGACTCAGAGCCTTGCTATAAAAAGCTAATGGCCTACCCCCCTGCGCCAGCACAGCTCCCACTCCCGAACCACTAGCGTCAATTTCAAGTGTGAAAGGTTGAGTGAAATCAGGTAAACCCAATACTGGAGCGTGGCTCATAGCGGATTTGAGGGCGACAAATGCGTTTTCAGCAGGCTCTGACCAATGGAAACCATTCTTCTTTAACAACTCAGTGAGGGGGCGGCTAATAACTCCATAGTTCCTGATAAATTTGCGATAATAGCCCGTGAGCCCCAAAAACCCTCTCAACCCTTTCACTGAAGTAGGTCGAGGCCATGTTTGCATTGCTGAAACCTTGTTACTGTCTGTGGAGACTCCATCCTTGCTAATAACGTGACCCAAATATTCCACGGTAGGCTGGCCAAAAGAACACTTGGAGGCCTTGGCATACAACTGATGTTCCCTGAGTAATTGTAAAGCAATCTCAAGATGCTGCAAATTGTCTGACTCTGATTTGCTATAAACCAATATATCATCGAAGAACACCAAAATAAACTTCCTCATATATGGCCCAAAGACATGATTCATTAATGCTGGAAAAGTAGCAGGGGCATTAGTCAATCCGAAGGGCATAACTCGAAACTCGTAATGGCCTTGGTGGGTTTGGAAAGCGGTCTTGAACTAGTCTGCAGGGTGCATTCTCACCTGATGATACCCTGCCCTAAGATCCAGCTTAGAAAACCAAACAACCCCGTGCAATTTATCCAACAAATCCTCAATGTGTGGAATCGGAAATTTATCCTTGATGGTGGCTGAGTTTAATTCACGGTAATCAACACAAAATCTCCAAGTTTCGTCCTTTTTACCAATGAGCAGGACAGGAGAGGCATAGGGGCTGTGACTCTCCTGAATGAACTCGGATTGTAGCATTTCAGCAACCAATTTCTCAGCAACTTCTTTCTAGTGATGAGGAAAATGATAGGGTCTGATGTTTATTGGTTTAGTGTTGGGAATCAGGGGTATGGTGTGATCAAAGGTTCGAGGAGGAGGAGGAAGGGAAGTAGGGGTGGCAAAAACATCAGAGAATTTGGTGAGAACAGGCTGTAAGAAGGAAGGTGTAGGAGAGGGAGTAGTAATGGCTTCGAGGGAAAAGACAGCTCCCAATAAATGGGCAGAAGGTTTCTTCAAGAGCTGCTGGAAGTCTCGGCCTGACATAAGCTTACACTGCCCTTCCTTTGTGAGGCCCTGCAATGTCAAAGTCCTCCCGTGCCACTCAAATGCCAACTGTCGCTTCTTCAAGTCAACTTGGAAAAGACTAATCGTTTCCAACCAATCCCAACCCAACACAAGATCATGAGCAGGTAAATCCAAGGTACGAACATCAAATCCGAACTCATGTCCTTGCATCTTCCAGCAAAAACCCTTGCAAACTGAATCACTCAACAATGTATGTCCGCTAGCTACTTTGACACGCATAGGGGCTATACTCTCAGTCCTACAATTCAGTTCTTCAGCCCTAGTGGAGTTTAGAAAAGTATGGGAACTACCTGTGTCAATGAGGACTGTGACCTCCTGCTTGCCAGCTGTTGCTGGAATGAGAAGCAAGTTTCCAGCAAATCCAGACCCCATGGCTTGTAACGAAACCTCCAACTCAGCATCCTGATACACCTCCTCTTGTTCATCCTCTTTACTGGAACGGAAAGACTCTTCTGCCTGCATTGCGTGTAACTGCTTCTTCTTGGAACAAATGTGGCCATGGAAATATTTATCGCCACACTTGTAACAGAGGCCCTGCCCCCTAGGAATGTGACTTCTTTCCCCTGCCGACGGAAAAAGACTAGTCTGCTCTCTCGGAGAAGCGGTGCCCGATGAATTAGAAGGAGCAGCAGACCATCGAGTGAGAGGAACAGAACGCGTCTTCTTCTTGCGAGCTTCTATGGTGGATTCCTCCAGTCGAGCTTGGTAAAACGCGCAGGCCAAGGTCGGTGGGCTCCGGATTTCGTCATCTAAGCCCCAGAAAACTCATGATAAAGTAGTGTTCGTTGAGCTCCGGATTTAGGCGAAGCAGACGCGAACGGAGGTCTTCGAAATCTTTCTGGTAACGAGCAACGGAGGACGTCTGCCGCAGCTTATTGAACGCGGCAACCACATTCAGCTGTTCGCGGTGGCCAAAACAATGAAGTAGCTCGTTGACGAAACGACCATCCCTCAAACCACGTATACGCCCGACCTTCCAGATAGTACGAGACCAGATCGACCTTCTGCTCCTCAGGAATCGAGTAAAGATGGAAGAGCTTGTTGCACTTGCTCACCCACACATGTGGATCTGAACCAGAGAAGTAGGAAAACTCCAAACGGGGATAGTGATCCAGGATCGATGGCCGACGATGCTGCTGCTGGCAAAAGTTGTGCTGATCGGCAACGGGATCCTGCGAGTGCGACGGCGAACCGATCGGAGACTTCTCGCGACTCCGGGCGAAGGATGCCGCCAGAGCATCAATGTTGTCTTTCATTGAGGCAGCGAGCTCCGCAATGGCGGTCTTCAAATCCTGGTGGTGAGAATCCAATTGGAGCTGCACAGACGCCATTTGCGCCTCCAAATCAATGATACGAGAAGTGTTAGAAGCCATTGCCAGATCAAAGGCTCTGAATACCACTTGTAAGGATCGTGTTTGGGAAATCTGGCGAAATGGAGAGGGCGATGGTGAAGAAAGGGAAAGTGGGGAAGAACAGAGAGTCTCTTTTATTGAAGCTAACTAATTTGGTAAAGTTGCTACAGAATAACAGATTGGTCAAAGAATGCCAAATCACGGTTGAAGGACTCTATTTATACTCTTGAGCTTCTGTCCACGTCAACAGCCAGCTGTCTTCCACCGGGTTGTTACAAACCCCCTAATCATCGGCTCGCCTCCGGCTCTTCCTCTTCCCAAGGGGGAATCAGATAGTACGAGAAACATAATGGCTGCCAAGAACTCCCTCCGCCGTGTGGCCATCGCCAAAAGCTCCATCATAGCTGCCAAGAACTCCCTCCGCCTTTTCTCGTCCCCGTGTAAATCGAAATTCCCCAACCCATTTCCTTCTCTTTGCAGCAGGGATTTGAACTTGTTAAACTTTGGGCTTTTAATGGCGTTGACGGAAAACATAAGAGGAATGGACAACCGGGAGATAGAAGTAACGATGGATCAAATCTCCGCCATCTCTCACCGTCAATCGCAGCAGGGGCTTCATTGGATCAGTGGATCTTCGTAAGGGATGATTCCTCCGCTTTCAATGCTGGAGAGATCGTCTGCAACAAACAAACAGACATTCACATACTGAATCAATATCCATATTACCGGCCCGGAACGCCATCTTCAAACATATCACAAATATTCCAAAACCCCCCATCGCAAGAACCCCAACCTAGGCTTTCATCAGAGGCAGGCGATGAAAGAGGAATAGACGTTGCAGATCGGACGGAATGGACCACAAGTTTTTTGGTTAAAGAGGAAGCGTGGTGGGAGGATTCTACGTCGGAATTCAAAGCCGGCATCCTTTCCTCACCCAGCTTTCTTCCTGCCACCGATGCTTCAGGAGAGATTTCAAGCATCTTCCTAGACAAAGGAACCTATGTTGCATATGCAATTTGTTCCTCCTGGTAATTAATTTTTTTTAATTTAATAATTTGTATGAAATAAGTAATATGATAAATTATATTGATAAAGTAAGTGGAGTGATGAGATGGAAAAATAAATTATTATTTTTAATTTCCACGTCATCTAGTTAACGGTCAAACTTTAAAGTTGACTGCCACGTAGGACAAATTTAACGGAGTGTAATGGCCGGTGACTAATGGTGAAATGATTCGTAAAGTTAGTGGCGAATAAGAAAGAAAAGTAATTCGAGTGACAAACGTGAAAGATTTGTATAATTCAAGTTACCAAACATGTAATTTAGCCTATTAAAAATAAAGGCTAAAAGTGACATTTCACTCAAAAAGTAATATAATTTATTTAAATACTATAAGAACTATCACAGAAACCAAACAATGTAAACTACAATACACCAATTTTCTTATATACATGTATATTATTGTGCATGCATTGATAACAATACATCGATTTAACTATCACCAAAACCAAATGACCCCTGAGTTACACAAAATATAAGGTACAAATCTAATAACTAATAGTTTGATGAATGACTACTTGACTGAATGTTTTTAAGAAAAATTACTTAATAATTGAATACAATATTATAAATTTTTTTCATAAATGGTACCCACTAAACTTGAACCTAGCTACGCTACTGTTCCCATCCCAAGTCTTGTCTTCAGAATTAGAAGATTCAAAAGTCCGGCGGGGCGCAAAGATCCACCTCAAAACCCCAGTAGTAAACAAACAAACAAACAACAGACGGCATTTGAAAATTAATTACGATTCGAGTGGGCCTCCTAAACTTTTGACCTTTTCCACGTCCAACATTTTTCCAAATTTCAAATTGCTCCGCCTTGATTCTGCCGGCCATCCTTACTCTTCCAAATTTTCAAACCCCAAATTTTCAAACACTAAAAACATCATTACACCCATCTTCCCCAACAAAAATTCCAACACAAAAATGGGAGACTTGACTATGTGGAGTATCGATCCACTCTTCTGCAACAACTTCTTCAAGCCATAAGATTCACAACAATAGAATACAATACAACTCAATATTATATCATAAATAATGATGACAATGAATCCACTCAAAAATGAATTCACTCAAACCTGTAACATTATGCAGTAGCAGTAAATATGACAACAATAGCAATAATCAATAACACTATAGAAAGTAAATATTGTGGGCTCATCTCAATCTCAATAGACCACCTACACTGCAACTACCAAGCTTTTACTACTACCGAATTCTCTCATCAGCAAAAGTAAACTCTTCTCTGGTCCCTCTGTGGCCTAACAAAACCCAACTTCTGCTTCTACTTGGCTTTGGCTGTGCCATTAGCGGCTGTCTTCTCAGCTGAAGAAGGGTTCAGCTCGTCCCAAGCTTCGATCCAGGTAACCATGGCATCGGCAAGCTTGTCAAAGTAAGGATCAACCTTACCCAGCTTCTCCTTCACTTCCTTGGACAGCTCGATGTAGCATTTCTGCACCGAGGTGGCATCCTTGGAGATCTTCACTGATTGGAAGAATGGGATGATCTCCTCCTGCCAGAAAATACCCTTGTACTCCTTTTTCAGGTTCACGAATGGGTTGCTGGCCTTGCTGTGCCAGATGTATGGCAACCCGGTCTTGATTCCCCATCCCATATGGTCGCAGATCACCTTATCATAACAAAAAATTTGTACCTAGGTTAGCTTATTATATCCTCAAGAGGTTGTAACCCAAAGTAAAAATGACTTGTCTCTCTTCTTACCTTCACACACCACCCAGCCCACATGTCGTCGTATCGACCAATCGGCTGACCATCTCCCATGAGTCCAAAGTACAATGCCGGTCCGACCAATTCACGGTTGAATGCAAGGTTCATCCCGCACATTGGGAACAAGGTTCCCTTGGGGATTGTCATCACAGCATCAACATACCTGCAAATGTCAACAACTGACACAAGTTAGCAAAACTGAGGATGAAAAATATGAGTTCATCATCGTTCTTGAATCGGGTTGGTTGGGGGTGAAAAGCAACCTGGTGTTCCTCTCAAGTGGCTTAACCAGCTGAGTGGGAGCATCATAATCAGGGATGTTCATCCACAGGCCATGAGAAACCGCTGTCGCAACGCCCTCACGGAGACTGAAAGGATACCCACGAACAAAGTCAGCACCTTCTCTGTATGGATCATAGAGTGTGTTGAAGAAGTGTGGGGTGGATGGGGATAGCAGGTTCTTGATGTGCTGCTCCAGTGCATTGATCTGCGCCCCAGTTGGATCCTTGGCTACCTATAATTTATAACCACAAACAAACAACATAAGAATAGCTGTCGAGAAAACATGACCGGCAACCCATTAGGCCGAGGAGATCAGTAGGGAATGTAGACATCATAGCGAGCATCAGTGCCCATTGAATATAAAAGCACTGGCTTTCTGAGATGCCATAGTTGATATCAGGTCCTCCCCAATCTACAAACAAGGACTGGCCAAGGATCTGAGTAAGACACAGAAACTTGGCAGCATTGTCCCTGCAGAGAGGACCTTATTGCAGATCTGGATGAATTGCAAAGTGAAACGAATAATCTTAATCAGATAACCCAAATTCACTAACAGAGGAAAAGAGGGCATCATAACCCGAGATCTACACAACTCCAGCAACCATCTGACAATCAAGTACTCATTACTCAACATTAAGAAAACACATCTACGATCTAAATCGACCGCCCAAAAGTTCCAACTCTAATGCTAACTATTCCCGGCCAAGTCAAACGGAAGTCCAAGCAGAGTAGATCAAACAACCATTACAACCAAATAAAACACACGGAAGAAAGATCTGAGAAAACGGGGTGACTTACAAAGCAATCGTCATCGATGGTGTAGATGTACTTCTTCTTGGACACCATGAACCCGAAGCATCTGCAAGCAGAATCCTTGAATGAAATGCAAGAAGCTTTAGGACCCAGAATCCTGTTGATGTCGTTCCTGTTGTAGAGCTCGTAATCGAACCCTTCGGGGACTTTGATGGTCTTGGAAGGGTCACCATCTTGAACAATGATCAGATGGTAACCCTCGAAGAAGGGCCTCCACATCTCCAAGAAATCGAGGTTTCGGATTGTGGGTATGACGATGTCGAGCTCATCTTTCAGTATCGGAGTGGGCTTCACGGCGGCAGAGAATCCCGCCATGGCTTACAGCCTCGGAAGGAGAAGACTTGAATCAAGCGGGATCTACTGGGTGGAGAAGAGGGGGAGAAGAGACGATCTGACAAAGTAGAGGGCTTGTCTTTCAGCAGGAGTCCGTGAGAGGGATTTAAAGAGGTTTTTGGAGGCTGTTTTCGTGAATACGGAGAAGTCCCGGGGGATATAAATATGTGGCTTTTATTTTGTAGTGTTATATCTTTTTCCGTTTTATCATGGTTGTTAAACCGGTAACATGCGGGCTGGTTTAACGGGTTTCAATCGATATGTGTTTCAATATTGGTTGAAATGTCCTGGTATGGCTAGTATTACTGCGGAAAACGATGCGGTTTGGTACGGTTCAGATTGATAGGTTGGAGTATAGATCACATGTCAAATCACATATATGGTCCGGTACAAATAGACTACACTAAACCAAAATGAACAATTTGATTAGTGGACAATGAGTTTTTTTTTTAAAAAATGAACCAATAACCAATAACTTTTTTTTCTTAAAACATGAATCCAACATGCATGAATAATTTTGACATAAAAAATCTCAGTAAATAATAAAGATACAAAGTCAAAGTATCTCAACTTGCACCATAACGTCATACTTTTACATAATGTCATTTGGAGACACGATCATCTCTACTCTCTGAAGAAATGTGGTTGTCAATGAAGGAGGGAGAGAGATTCTCAAAATTAAGACTGAGACTTGGATATCATTGTGGGAGTTGGGAGAGTGGTCGAGTGGGCTGATAACACGTATTGAGAAGTCGGCTGGGTCCACAGCTTGGTCCAGTAACCTGCGGTCTAGACAAGACCAAGAGATCAAAATATCATATAATACAGACAATGGATCGGACCAGACCATACTTATCGGTATACAGGCCGGACCAAAATATGCAGTCCGATTTGGATCATGGTTTTGCAAATGGTATAGTCTATTTTCCCAGCCCTAACCAGTATGATTGATTTTTTACATTAAAAAAAATAAAGGTATTTTGATGCATATAACTAACAAAATATTGATTTGTTTTTGAATTTGAAAGTTTATGTTGATGTTATTTGTTGTATTCAAGTATGAATATTTAGATGTTTATATTATTGTTGGATTATTCAAGTGATATTATATTATATTTAAATTAATTAGTTTCTTGAATTTGAAATTTAAATATTGATGTAATTCGATAGTGAAATATTATATTTTATTTAAATATAGATGTAGATTTTAGATAAGATTGTTTTCAAATATGTTATATATATATATGTTTAAATTTGTTTAGTGATAATAATTTCTCACTTTTCTACTATTTGTTAAAACCAGCAAGAACTAGTATAAACCAGTTATACCACAGGTCGGATCAAATCACTTGCTTAATAGAAATAATGGTATAAAGCAATATGACATTTTCTATAGATAAAGCGATTTGACTTTGATTTTGCCATTTAAACTACAGTTTGAATTATGATGGTATATTTTAGAAAAGATTCTTTAATTATGATCAAACATAAATATGTTGATTAAAGTAACAGCAAACAAGTCAAGGGATCAACCTGTAACCTTTTTATATAGCAAACTTTTTCATTTATATGATGTAACATAAATTTAGCTAGATACAGGGGACAGGTTACGGTGATTACTACTTTGTAGTAATCACCGTGGTTACTAAGGGTAAATTGGGTATGAAAAAATAAATTATATTAATTAATTTTTTAATAAATTACATTTAAGGTAGTTACAAAAATCTATTAATTAAAATTCTCTCTTTCTCTCACTTCCGTAATCTCCAGCCAGATTTTCTTTCCATATTTTTCTCAATCTTTCTGCAAAAAAAAAAAAAAAACGAAATGAGTACCAATCCATTAGACAAACACTACCACTTTGAAAAATATCAATACCATTGCAGAAATAAATCTATACCATTACACGAAAACTACCATTGCATAAATAAATTTATACCATTACACGAAAACTACCATTCAAGAAATAAAAACACTACCATTTCACAAAACATCAATACCATTCAAGAAATAAAAACACTACCATTTCACAAAACATCAATGTCATTGCAGATTTAATCACTACCAATGTGACAAAATTAATACCAATGTAACAAAATCAATACCAATGCGACAAAATCAATACCAATGCGACAAAAATAATACCAATGCGACAAAAACTATACCAATACGACTATAACACTACCACTACGGAAAAAAATGACTACCATTTAAAAAAAATGACTACTGAAAAAAAATGACTAACATTTTAAAAAAAAACATACCATTCCAATGGAATTCCTCCTTCCAATTGCAGAGACGACGGCGGCGGTTGGTATTATTTTTGACGTTGAAGATGAACGGGCACGGCTGCAACCGTAGAACGCCACCAAAACCCCTTTACAGAACGAAACCGACTTGACAAACCAACAATCCCCCAGTTTCTTCCAGGGAATCGTCAAGCGCACCAATGAGAGCGCGTCTATTGTCAGAGGGGCAAGGGAGGGACGCCATCGGGGGGGGAGGGAGAGGGGAGGGAGGGACGCCCGGAGGGAGGTCCGGTTGGGGTGGTCGGAGGGAGGAGGGAGAAGGGAGAAGACGGCGGCGGTTGTGGGAGAAGGGAGAAGGGAGAGACGGCGGGGGTTGTGGGGTTGTATTAGGGTTTGAGTATAATATATAGAGTAATCAGGTGTGGTACATTTTTCATTTCCTAAATTACCCTTATCTGATCTTAATCGTTAATTTAAAAATATAATAAAATAAAGATAATGAATGGTATAGATGTTGGTAGCCACCGTGATTACTCAAAATTGAGTAACCACCCTAACCTATCCCCTAGATACAGTCATCGGGAACAAAAAAAGAATTTCTTACTATATATATGAAGGGCTTATGTAGCTTGGGATGACTTAACCATTGAAAGGACACTCATCCCTTAGGATATGCTCCTGAGTTTCTTGCAAACCACAGAAAGGACACTCATCGTTGGCCTCATGAATTCTCCTAGCTAGGTTTCCTCTAGTAGGCAGGATATTGCTTCCCCAACGCCAAAGAAAGACACGGACCTTTGGAGGTAATTGTAGGTGCCACATTCTCTTCCAGTTCACAAGGATGTATCTTTCGCGTGCTTCACTTAGCTCCTACCTTCTCCATTCATGATAACCTGATTTCACTGAGTATCTTCCTAGTCTGTCTCATCCCCAAACCCTTACGTATGGTTGTGGGTTTTTATGCAAAGAATCTGAAGAATTCTCGCTCTATCAGTAGGGTGGAAATTTGACTGCAGAAGATTGCTTTTCCAATTCCTATATGATCAAAACCCCTTGCTTGGAGACCCAGATATGAAACTGGTGATTCAATCTTAAAATTGGAACTATTAGGCACCCATCTGTCCCACCAAATTCGAACTTGGTCTCTCGTTCCTTTTTTCCACCTTATTCCATCCTTCACTAGAGACTAAATAGCCATTAGACTTCACCATATGTAGGTTGGATTACTCCCCAATTCTGCTTCCAAGATGTCACAGTTAGGGTAGTATTTTGCCTTCATTACTTGAGCAACCAATGAGTTTGGATTCTTCACTATATTCCAAACCTGCCTCCCCAATAGAGCTATGTTGAAGCCACACAAGTCTCTGAACCCCATTCCTCCCTCACTCTTTGGTTGAGTCAGCCTCTCCCAGCTCATCCAGTGGATCCTTCTTTCCTCTTTCTTTTGTCCCCACCAGAATCCAGTAATGATTCATTGAATTTCCTGGATCACACCCCGCGGTATTATAAAAACAGAAATAGCATAAGTACTCTATGCTTGTGCTATAGCATTTATAAACACTTCTTTGGTCGCATTTGACAGTGTTTACTCTTCCGCATCTTCACTTTCTTTCTAACCCTGTCAATTAGTTGTGAGAACACCACTTTCTTTGACCTTCCAATAGTTGTGGGTAGCCCTAAATACTTATCATGGAATCTTACTTGCTTCATACCGAGCAAATTAGCCATTGCTTCTCTATCTTCCTCCCCCACATTGCTATTGAAAGGTAACTCATATTTGGGGAGACTAACTTGCTGACCAGATTCCTCCTAATATCTCTTGAGAATTAGCTTCATTGTTTTCACCCTCATCCTTCTTGCTGCTAATTTGTATGCCTTTCGGCCTCCCTTCTTCCACTGCTTTTTTAGTTAGAGCTAACAATCCCTCAACGCACATCAGAATAGATATAGGGAAATGGGATCACCCTGCCTTAATCCTCTATTAGGAAGGATTATCTCCGATTTGTAGTCATTGAATAGAATTGAATATGAAATCGTTCTTACACATTGCATGATGAAGGCTAGCACCTTGCAGCTCGATAACCGCATACTCCACCACTTGCTAGCGAAGTCCTTCACCCCAGCTGGGGACAGTGCCAGCACCCTCACCAGGCGGTCCATGTACTTCATCCAGTCCATCCGCACGGCGAACCATAATCTCCACCTGGGTTCTGTGGTGGCAAGGACTCTAGACAAGAGTCTTGTTCAACTAGGGACCCTCCACTGCACCCCCCATCACCCGCCTGGCAACCTATTTCCAAATCCCACTTCAGGATTGCACATTGCAGGGGGACACTTGTGTCTTCGGCGAAGACACGATCTCGAAGATGCACTTGCTGCGAGTCAAGCGCGACGTCAAGTGGATTGCGGGGTTTCCTGCTCCACCACTCCCTGCGGAGGATCAGCCCGCAGTCCCTGAGGATGATGCCACTGAGGATGTCCACCCCGATTATGTGGACGCTGCTGCCGCCCTTCACCAGACCACCTTTGAGTAAGGGGGTGGCAGCTCCATTTTCCATCCCAGGACTACTTCACTCACCAGTTCCAGTAGCTGAGTCTCCAGAATCAGCAACTCCTCAACCATCATCTCCAGTTCCAGTATCAGTACTCGGCTCACCAGGTCGAGTATAATACCCGGATGGCTGCATATGATGAGCGCCTTGATCGCATGGAAGCCTAGCAGGGGGTGACCCTTGCTCACATTGAGAGGGAGCGGGCACGGTCTCGGCATATGCAGGAGGTCCAGCAACACCTACTCCAGCTGATACCGGGCGAGTAGCCAGTCTGGAGGACTCACTGGGAGGACTCTCCACTTCCACCCCTGCCAGCGGGCGATGATGCCTTCATGGATGACATCGACCTTGACAACCTTGGCGACGAGTAGTCTGTACCAGTCGCCTCTTCGCGTGTGTTTTTGTTTTGGACTTGTCTTGTTTGCTCCATGTGTGTGCGGAGCTTGAACTGAGTCTTTCGTGTGTTTTTTCTTTTTCTTTCTTTTGTGGATTGTCCATTTTGTGGCCATCTGGGCTAACTCTGATCCCTAACACATAGTGTGCTATTGTGTTCTTTATGTTCCCATTGTGCAGAATTGTTCAGTCGTTCCATCTGTTTCCCGCTGACTGGTCCACTTCCAGTCTCCTGGAAGTCTTTCCACTCGGTAACATCGTTCCCCTTCTCTTTCCCTCTGCTCCATTGAGGGCAATGTCGCACTTAAGTGGGGGGGGGGGGGTGATTTTTATTGGTTGGAATCTATATATGTGTGCTTGGAGCCTAGTCCGCTGTCCAAATCTCGAGATTTGAGGGCTCCAAGTACTGAGGTTTGCATTATCATATTGGCACTGTGGATTTGATTGGTGAATCGAATGGCTTTCGAATTAATGCATGAAAACTTGATTGTAACTAGGACAACCTATGATGATGACTGAGACGTGCAGTAGGATTGTGTAGGGGATCCGTTTTTCAACTGTTTGCTTACCAACTGTGACTTGGATTGATCACTTGCTCTTGATAGTCGTTTATGCATCTAGTTCAGGAAATCAGAATGAGAGATAGAGCATATAGGTAGCCATGTCAGATTTGAGCCTGCTCGTTTCTTTCTTGTGCGATAGATCCCTCTTCCATGATGTGTAACATTCACGTTATCACTAGCTGAGATGATGGAGGCATAGGAATAGCCCACGACCAAATTGACTGTCCTGGTGTGTCATACCCCCTAGTCAGCCCCTTTGAGTCGTGTACTTTTCTTTCTTTTGGTCTACAATGGAAAATCACCCTTTTGCATCTCTTAGAAGGTTCCACAGAGTGGTTTTTGCATGTTCTCTGCTATTTCTGCTAAATATAATGTGAGGGTTGGAGGTAATGCTTAAAAATTGGGCATGTGTTTGAAAAATGTGCAGAGGTGGTGGTTCTCTCAAGAAATGAAAAAAAAAAAAAAATGAATGAAAGCAAAACAGAGCCACTACAAAAAATCTGAATCATGCTCGTTAAGTAGTGTTTCTTAGCAGTCTGGCTTAGAAACACTAACATTATTGTGACCTCCTTCGCTCTTGTGCTCTAGAGAATTTGAGTAATGCAGAATGGCAGAAAGAAAGTTACTGGTTGATTTACAAGAAACCGCAGTTTTTGCGATGCGCAATTCGTCGCTAAAAGCAAAGAATTTCGGCGCCAATAATTTCTGCGACGAAACTGCACGTCGCCAAAGGCTGTTTCTATACGTCGCCTAATACTTTTAGCGACGAAATATTATGATTCGTCGCAAAACATGATGTTCGTCGCTAAAAATTCAAGCTTTAGCGACGATTTTGTTCGTCGCAGTTAAACATTTCAGCGACGAAAATGATCGTCGCTAGTTTCCGCGACGAATCAAAGTCGACGCAGTAGAGAGACTTTCGCGACGAATTCCCCGTCGCAAAACCATCTGTGACTTCAGGTACCACCGCACGTGTGCCTTTTGGCGACGAGAACTTTCATCGTTAGATGCCTTTAGCGACGACATAATTCGTGGCCAAAACAGTTAGTTTACTCATATTTCTGCTCTGCTTTGTGGTTTTTGTCCATTTATAGACTATCAATTAGCAAATCTGTTTGCAAAAGATAACACAATTGAATGCTTCTCATAACAAACTTTTCATTTATAGACTACTGAGTAGCTCTACACATCTACAAGACTATAACCATACAAAGTAGATGAATCCATCCAACATTTATAATCTCAAAGGAAACAATTAACTAATTGGAAGTTTTTCTATAGGATCTTTGAGCTTTCTTGAGGGACTCTGTAGCCTTTGTTTGCATATAAAATATGCTTCCACCAAGGACCATAATGCATCTTGTATTCACATAAAACCTAACCAAGTTAAAGAAACAAACACATAAATAAAGCAGAAATCATCATCAAAAGTTTGGTAATTTGCATAACCACAGCCAAACGTTCCCTTGCTTATATTTTGTGGTGGACAACTTTTCACAGTATATATAAATCCCTAAAACCAATTAGGAAGTCTAAAATATGCTACTCACCTTGTAACAACATCGCTTGGCTACAAAACATATGCTCTGTAAACCTTTCAGCCTTCTGCACTCTGCGTATGGAAAACATAAAATGATCAGGAGGTCATCATTATGAACAAGCCTATGAAAATGAAAGCAAATTTTGATAGCAAGCAGTACAGAATGTAAGCATGTATAGGCAAATGCAATTATATTCGAAAAAGTCACCAAAATACTTATAAGACAATAATGGGAACCGGAGCAATCAGAGGTTCAGCATAGTTTCAGGGTGGGAATTAGCAACTGAAGCACAAGCGAAGGCTGTAAAATTGGGTAAACAGCATTATGCTTATCCACATTTAAGCTAAGAATGAATCAATCAGTAGCAACATATAGCATAAAATTGGGTAAACAGCAGCTATTGGGGCTGTAAGTTCATCAATTTAACCTTTAAGCATCTTATATAAGGTTGAACAACAACCACCAAACCAAGGTAAAGTGGACTATTAAACTCATTGGTTGTTGGCAAGTAAACAGGAAAATAAGTAGAGTTCCTTGAAGCAATATGAGGAAGGTGGTAAGAGGATGACCTCATATATTTGTTCTTCCTTAGCACAATTCTGATTGCTCCACACTCATGTCCACGACAATTGCATGATTTGCTCGTTCAGACCTGCAAATTAATTGATGACAGAGTAGCAACGTCAAAAAAGCAGAAGAAATAATCAATGACAGAAAGAGCTAGGGTGAAATGCTCGGACATCTGTGGTAAGCGAAGGTGAGGGCCTCCTAACCAGGATGCACAGTGATTCCTCACCGTCTTCTTCACCACCTGACCTAGGGGCCCTTCACTATGCGATTCATGATCTTGAATTGCCGGTTCAAGTACTCGTCCTCACCGTTCACGAATTTGGAGAACAAGATCCTAGGAGCGAGCGGATCTGCGAGGTGAAGTATAAACGGCGGTTGTGAGATCCTTCCCGCAGACCTAGATGTTCACGGGCAGGACGAAGCTCTTCAGCCACTCCCAGCCCATTGGGCGCAGCCAAGCGCCAAGGAGACTCTGTTGTCGGGCCGGTCCAGGATGTTGTCGAGTTCGGTGGATGATTCAAGCCAGAGCAAGCAGTCGCCGCCGTGGGATTTTAGTTTCTTGGCAGTGTAGTAACTGTAGTTCTTAGAGATTAGAGCGGAAGGAGAAGAGATTACCAGGGGTGAAGTCCAGTCGTTGATTCCGTTTTGACCATGGCGGAGGGGTCTGCCGTCGATTGCCTCTGAGATCCAGTCGAGGATGGTAAATTAGTGGCGGCGGTGGCGATGGCATCTCCTTGGCGGTGGATCTGGGAGCGGAGGAGCCGGAGCTCCGTTCCTTCAGTTTGGTTGGGGACATGGGGGGAGACAGCGATACAAAAGCTCGAACGGTGGTCGTGGCTACTAGATTAGAGCCCGCCCGTTGGACGGATTAATAACATCAATAGTATAAAGAGTACTAGAGGTAATAGTAATTATCTTAATCAAGTTACTTTGTTATTTGCTATCACGAAAGAGTTAAAATCATTCATTTATACCAATATAAAAAAGGAACATACATGGTACGTCTTTGGGTAAATACAAATTATAAGGCAAACCTTTCTAACTTTTCAAATTATTAGTCAAACCTTTTCAAATATAAAGTATTAGCCAAATCTTTTGTGAATACCATATGATTTGGCCGGAAAAAATCCCAATGTACACATGTTCTTAAAAAATATTCTCAAAATACATAAGTTATAAATTTTTTTTCCAAAGTACACATATTTGGCATTCACCGTTTTTGACAAACGCAGTGAAGGTGATCACCGCGTTTGACAAAGACGGTGAATGTTTCACCGTTTTAAAATAAAACGGTGAAGGGTTCACCGTTTTGTTCTAACACGGTGAATCAATCACCGTTTTGGTTTAAAACGGTGAATACTTCACCGTTTCTGTCCAAAACGGTGAAGCGACGCGGATCGCTGACGTGGACAAACGCGGTGTATTCACCGCGTTAGACAAACACGGTGAATACACCGTGTTTGTTTACGTCAGCGATCCGCGCCCATGTGCTTTCACCGTGTCCGTTGGATGCGGTGAGGCGCGGATCGTGGTTTTCTTCCCACGATCCGACGCCTCGCAACACGCCACGTCCCCTCTGCAGGGACCGTTTTGGGGAAAAGCAATGCCTTCACCACGTCCCTCAAACACGGTGAAGGCTCTCCAATTAAATGCTGCGCAGGCGCCTCCCCCCTTCCCCCAACTATAAATAACCCTCCCCCCTTCACTTACAACTCACACCACAACCATTTCACTTCTTTCTCCCTCAATTTATCCGCTCTAGTCTCGTTCTAAGTATGTTCTGTGGTTGCGGCTAAGTCAGATCTTCCACATCAGAAAGAATTACTAGAGTTTGACCCTAAAGCCCCCGTCCCGCTAAGTTCCCGTCCCTTACAAACCTAAACCCGTCCAACCTCTGTCCGGCTTCCGCCAAAAAATGGACGAAGAGGCTCTTCGTGTAGGTTTTTGGTTTATGATTTTTTTTTAATCGAAACAATTTGATTTTGTGTTTTTTTATCAAAACAATCTCTGATTTCATTACTTTTTTATAGATGGGTGCCGAGATATACGATCCTCGATTGTATATCCATTATGGCCAAGGGATGCGAGTCTCTTAACCGATCAAGAAGCTCATCGCTCCCGTGCTATTTGGGATAACAATCCGGTAATTTTTTTTAGTATTCTTGCTTTATTTTATTATTTTCTAAGGTTTTATTTTGCTTTATTTAATCTAATAAATTGATATTTTCCCTATTTTTTTTAGGAATCTCTTGTACCCGTGGTTCATAAAGGGACCAATAACTTGCCCGCTTGGCATCCAAGGTTGGAGCCCTATATAGCGAGGACCGGTTTGGGAATGTTGCGCCATTTCTTGCGGATCGAAATCGACAACGATCTGCTTACGGCAATGGCGGAACGATGGCGTCCCGAAACCCATACATTCCACCTTCCGGAGGGGAAAATGACGATCACCCTCAAAGACGTGGCGATCCTCACCGGGCTTCCTATTTCTGGAGATGCCATCATTGGTTCCACGACCAAACCCGAAGGAGGTTGGGGGCCGCTCATACGTGATCGTTTGGGCTTCGACATGCCGACCACCACACCAATTCAAGGACGGGGGCATCCACCGTTAAATGCGGGCCAAGTGTCGGTCCCGTGGCTGGCATCTCACATCCACCAAGAGGTGGAAATCAATGACGAGACACCGGAAGAACAAGTCGAGCGCTACGCCCGCATCTACCTCATCGGTTTGGTGGGTGGATTTTTGTTCCCCGACAAGTCAAACCGGTGGATTCAAGGCATATGGTTGCCATTGCTCACTGGTGACTGGGATGCAATTGGAGAGAAGAGTTGGGGATCGGCCGTGCTAGCGGGCGTATACCGGGAGCTGTGTACTTGCTCGAAAGTTGGGGCAAAGCAAGCTGGTGCTGCGATGTTCATCCTACAACTGTGGGTATGGGAGCATCTTCCAATGTTCGCACCTCTCTACCCACGTCCATACCGGAGAAACGATGATGAGCTAAACTTTCTGCAAAATCTCCCCTACGGTGTCAAGTAAGTTTATTTCGTACTTAGCCTAATTTAAATTTTATTACATGCTTAGCTAGATTTAAATTGAATTTATTCCGTACTTAGTCCAAGTTAAATTTGATTACATGCTTAGCTAGATTTAAATTGAATTTATTCCGTACTTAGACCAATTTTATTTATTATTTGCTTAGCTATATTTCAATTAAATTGATTCCGTACTTTTACTTACAAGGTGGATAGGAGCAAATACGAATGACCATCAACCTGAGCATTCGTTACTGTTTTATCGTTCTGAGTTAGATAAACCTTGGTGGAATCAGGTAATAATTTTTTGTCCATATTTGAACAAGTTAAATTTTATCAATGTAAATGGTCGTTAATTCCGAATTTTGAATGAATATAGGTTATATGGGATCCATATCCACGTGAAGTGTTTGAGCTGCATCATCTTAGACACCCTCTAGATCACGAGACGTGGTTGTGCAAGGTGCCATTGATCTGCTGGCACATGGTGGAATGGCACCTACCCGATCGATCCTTGAGGCAATATCGAATGGAGCAACCAATTTCACAAGACCCGCCTCAAGGTTTCAGGGAGCTACATGCTATCAACCTCCGACACACTGCAAAGAACTGGCTCCTCAAGCATCAGTTCTACATCAACATCTGGGAGAATCGATCCCAATGGGTGGTGCAAGGGATGCCGGAGACGAGACCGATGGGCTACCACGATGGGTACATGCAGTGGTATCGGAAGTTCACCATGAGATGGGTGTCAAAGCAAGGTGCTGTGATGGGTTCGTTGGTAAGTCATCCTAAACTCCCTCATTCTAAAATAAATTTATTTTAAGGTTTAGTTAATTTGATATATTTTGTGCTTTCTTAAGGTTGATGGTTTGGAACACGCCAAGTACACTCTCGAAAGTGCTCCAACCATGGATGAGCGGAAGACTACTTGGTTGACCCGACTTATGAACAACCTCCTGAGTTGTACCAGAGAGCAAAGGAGGGATGTCGTGGCCTATCCTCCCGTTTCTGCCCCGGCACGACCCTCATTCCTTGATGATGCACCCATTGTGCCCCGGTTGAGCCTCCACGAAGGAGCAAACGCAGGCCTCTTCCTACGTTCGAAGAGGTGCGTACAACTCAAGCAACCGAGCTCCCTGAAGCCTTCGAGTACCAGTGGGCACCTGCAGCGGATGCCGGTGGAGGGTCATCGAGTCACAATCCATCTCAGGAACATGCCTCTTTCTCTCATGGGTTCTCTCAATTCCAACATCAGCAACAGAGTTCGATGTATCAGACCCCGCAACAACAAACTCCGCAACCCCCGATCCACCGTTAAGCTACCGGTCCATCTCAGCCACCACCACCACCATATGTAACCCCAGTTGGGGCTCGGGTCAAGAGAAATCCGCGACCAGCCGTTGAGCGAGCCCGCCAAGAAGCAGCGGTGGAGGGGGGAAGAAGGGGTCGAGGAAGTCGTGGAGGACGAGGAGGAAGATGTAGAGATGGGGGCCAAAATAAAGCAAATGAGTGAATTTATCGTGTTTATCATTGTAGTGAACTATCCATGTTGTTTTTGACATTTTTAGGTGTTGTTATTTGAGTTTGCATTGTCTAAAAACTATCCTACGCACTTAAGTTGTCGAATGAATATTCTGGATCATTTTATCAAGAATCAGTATCTGCCCTCAACACGAAAAGGTTGGGAAAATCAACCACGATCACATAGAATTTTACAGATCTCAATTCCAAGTCCAAACGAGTGAGATAAGTGAGTTCAAAGTTGCACATGTCGTTAAAGTAACTTTTGCGTACTAAAAACAAAAACGCGCGTATCTTATTCGTTTGAGGTCGAAATAACGAGCCGTTTGCGGCAGCGCGATCGTATCGACAAGGAGAACATTTTAGAGTTAACAAATTACGTGGACTTCAAATGCAAGCGGTAATGAAAATTTAAACAAGCGATCAATTTAGTAGCAGGATACAAGTAAATGCAAATTAAGATAGTGGTTATCCTGGGCAACGCCTCTTGTCGTGACCAGGTTGTCTGCACTTAGAGCATCGCTTCGGTCCCCTTCTCATCCGTTTAACTTGATCAATCTCATTGTGTATCATTTCAACTCTAGGACGGCCTTTGGTGCGTTTTAGGTGCAACGGTGGGATAATCAACTTTCCAGCGTATATAGGCCAATACGCTCCATCTGGCATGGGGATCAAAGCTGCATTATATGAGTTCCGTATCGCTTGTTCAGTGTAGTAAGGACTCACCAGGCTATTTCTGTTCATGGTTATTGACTTAGCAACCGCCATTGCATGTGAACAGGGTATCCTTTCGTTCTGATAGTTTTGACAAGAACACTCCCCTAATTCGTAGTGCAATTTAACCGTTTGACGATTGTGACCACGTCTCCCTCCACCCCATATACCTGTTTCCACAGCGAATATTCCTTCACTGCGGTTAAAAAGAACAACCTTATGCTTACTTGATTTTTCATCGTTCTTCTGCATTTGAGCGAATGCGTCATGTGCTATTGAATGACCTTGCAACTCCCTCCCTATAGCTTGCTGTAGCCGAGCAACTCGCCACTCGTTGACCTTCCAGTAAGACATCTCCACGATGACAGAAATAGGCATCGCTCGAAGACCCTTGTACACATTATTTATACTTTCTCCATGGTTGGTAGTTGCAATGCCCCATCTGGCCCCGTTGTCCATATGGAACGTCCACATGGGCAACTCTTGACCTTCAGCCCATACTGCTCCAGCTCGGTGGGTCTGACGGATCTTTTTCATCTTCTGCTCGTAC